AGGAGCATGGAAACTAGCAAAGGTGGCAGACCAACACACTGCTCCAAGATTTTATCTCATTGAGACAAAGGAAGGAGATCTCTGTAGGAAAAACAGAAAGGATTTGATGAGCACTAAAAGAAATGTGCAGAAAAGGAATGGAAACATGGAACAAATAGAAACTGTGTCAACATCCAACTCAGAAATGCAAGCAATGCCAGACCAGTTTACTGAATTTACCGAGGCTCAAGTGGTCAGATCAAATTCAGGAAGGAAAAAAAAAGGGGGAGGGAAACACACTGATACTCCCGTTATTATCTCTAAATGCAGAGTGATAAGAAAACCTGCTAGATAAAGAGCCAAATTGTTCTAGACTCTTTAAGGATTCAGAGTAGAGTTATGGATGCTAAATTAAATTGATATTTTTAAGTAAAAAAGTTGAATTGTATGTCTTTATTTTAAAAATAAAGGAAGATGTAATGATATTAGGATCTTTGGAGTAGGAACCAAAGTTACCCACAGTGGTGGGTTTGGGTGGGGGGGGGAAATGATGTCGTGAGCATTATTAGCAGAAGCACGAGGCTAAGGCACTTGGAGCCAGGCAGGTAGCTATATGGTTTGACTAGGTAAGTAAATTGTTTACTGTTATTTTAAAAATCTCCAGTATCTTTTTGTATGTTATAATAGTAACTTGGCAGTAGCTATTACACGTACTATTAGTGGACCTGAATAATCGCAGTAGGCTTCCTACCTCGTTCGGGCTTTTATCAGTAGGTCTGAAGTAGATGACCCAGTACAATTTCTTTTACAGCACTTCTAGAGAGAGAGAAAAACTTTAAAGGAATGCTAAAGTGAGGGGCTTTTCTGTCTTTATCTCCATTAATTGCAATGGTAATGGAGGATGTTCACCTCCACAGAGGATCAGGTCTTATGCTTTCTGTAAATGCTGGCAAGTCCTTGCTTGGTTCCCCGACTCACTCTTTTTCATGTGTTAATGAATATTGTAGCTTATTATTGATTGATATAATAAATCATGCAGTGACCAAGCAGAGGATGTTTTTGAAATGGAGTCAGAGGGGTTGCATGTGTCTAAGTGAAAGCAAAATGTGGCTCAGTTACTACAAACTAGCACTTCTCCCAGACCCTCTGAAACCACGGTGATGGGCATGGTATAAGAACCTGAATAGAAGTGTGACTGGGGGTGTTGCAGGGTGCTCCTGCCTAGTGGTCATAGTTCACTACAGTGGCTGATATGCCTAGTAGCGGTAATCCACGGAGGCGTCAGCCTCACCTAGTGGCAATAGTTCAAGGTGGTGGCAGTCCCGCCTAGTGGCTGCCATCTGGGTGGGAGCAGGGGAGCCCAGGCCTGCTTTTCTCCTCCGGGTTCAGACCCATGGCCCAGTGAGGCTGACTCAGCTGCTCACCTGTGTTAGTGTGGTGTGCAGCTTCCCGTCAGCTTCCCTGGGTACTCTGTGCTCCAGTCAACCTCCCATCTGGCTGCTGCCCGACTCTGGGGGACGTCACCTTCAGGCTTTTGGTCCTTGTCCCCTCCAGTGGGTGCTGTGGCTCCCTTTGCTTACTGTCTCGATACTGGCTCCACTCCGGTCCTCCCTGGGAGCTCCCAGGGTATGTCCTGCTCCCTGGCTTGCCAGCTCCAGATTGAGTTGCCTGACTGGCTTTTAAACCCCAAATCCCCCCTCCCACTCTGCAACACAGCCTTCACAACATCCTCTGGCAAGGAGTTCCACAGGTTGACTGTGCGTTGTGTGAAAAAATACTTCCTTTTGTTTGTTTTAAATCTGCTGCCTATTAATTTCATTTAGTGACTTGTGTTATGAGGAGTAAATAACACTTCCTTATTTACTTTCTCCGCACCAGTCATGATTTTATAGACTTCGATCATATCCCCCCTTAGTCGTCTCTTTTCCAAGCTGAAAAGTCCCAGTCTTATTAATCTCTCCTCATACAAATGCCATTCCATACCCCTAATCATTTTTGTTGCCCTTTTCTTAATCTTTTCCAATTCCAATATATCTTTTTTGAGATGGGGCGACCAGAACTACACACAGTATTCAAAATGTGGGTGTACCATGGATTTATATAGAGGCAATATGATATTTTCTGTGTTATTGTCTATCCCTTTCTTAATTATTCCCAGCATTCTGTTCACTTTTTTGACTGCCGCTGCACATTGAGTGGATGTTTTCAGAGAACTATCCACAATGACTCCAAGATCTCTTTCTTGAGTGGTAATAGCTAATTTAGACCCCGTCATTTTATATGTATAGTTGGGATTACATTTTCCAATGTGCATTAGTTAGCATTTATCAACATTGAATTTCATCTGCCATTTTGTTGCCCAGTCACCCAACCATACAACACAATTTCATAACTTCATATGCACTAATGATATACATATTTAGATAGAACAGTGACTTTCAGCAGATCATATCCTTTCCCCTGATACCTTACATGGCATGCTTTATATGTGAGATCACAATTATATATAAATGAGGAATGGGGGAGTTACAGAGCACTCCCCCAAGGTATAGAGTGTTACAGTAGGTCTTCATCCTGCTGCAAGGGGAAACTAGAAGACAAAGGCCCCCGGATTACACATTGCAATTGCAAAACAGAAAGGGTCAGATTGTGCCCAGTCCTTGCATAGGAGCACAAGATGGTGGGATGGCACAAGAAGTGCCCTGCACTGTCCAGCAGAGATCTTCATAAGTCCCTAGCTAGTAAGTAGGCCCTTCATGTAGCAGCTCCTGTCTGCCTTCCAAAGGGAAGTTGTTTATTTTTAATCCAGCCAAGCTCTTGTGTGCTCTACTGCTAGATAGTTACTGATAAAAACCCAAGTTAGACCGTTGTGTTGATAACATATTTTAAAATATGAGAAATAAAGTGATTTTTGTCTATTAAATGTTTCCATTCATTGCTTCCCAAGGGCAGGATTCCTACAGTAAGCAGAGGTTAGGAGTGTGGCGGGGAGTTGAGTGGTTTTGGCAGGTCCCTCACACAAATCCAGATCACCACAGGAACCTCCCCAAGAACTACTTGGAGATGGATACACTCACATGTCAATGCACAATAGGAACACTGGGCACATGCAGGGCTCTAGACTTGGGCCCGAGTCTATGATGCACAACTGAGCAGTTCTGAGATTGTCCAGAAGATGGCAGGGGTGTGTACACATACTCTCTCTCTCTCTCTCTCTCTCTCTCTCTCTCTCTCTCTCTCT